GGTACACTGTCCATAAAAAATATGGGAGAAACTACTTCTGCCTATATTATGTACTGTCAAACATGGGAAAAGTGACTAATAAAGCTTATAATCATGCTTACACTAAACTTTCTATTCTATGCATTAAAAGGAAAATCACAATGCACCTACTGTAGAGATTATAACACATCAAGAGGCAAGACTTACACTGAATTTGGTAAGAAGATACAGCTATTGAATAATGTCCGTGAAGAAGCTGTACACTGTAAAACAACATGTACTACCTACTAATACTTTTGATTGCTAAGTTCAAAGATTACAACCTATCATAAGTTCATAACACATTGGGAATTGAAGTAGAAAAGCAAGTCCTAACTACTGTAATTTCAGAGTGCTGCAAGTCTAAAAAACCAACAATGTACCTACCATCCGCGAACAGGCGCTGTGACAGTGACATGGAACCGTTTGTCCCGGCAGCAGCACGCGGAGCTTGTCCCGGTAGGGCGCGTGGGTGGACACGTCGCGCTCCTGGAAGGTGACATGGAGCCTGTTGAGCAGCCAGCACACGGTGGAGCAGTCCTCAAATGTCATGCGCTGGCCATCGGGCGGGCAACGACTCTCGAACCCGGCCAAGGGATCTACGCTGCGGCCGCCATCTATAGCTAGGGGATGTGTCATCATTGTCGCGGCGCTAGGTCTTCTCGAGCGCCTGTGTGTATGCGTCAACAATGGCGCAGAAGGCGATGAGGAGGTCCGAATCGGAGAGGCTTGCCGATTTGAGCTCCGGGCAACGGTAACACCTGCCTGACTTCCCAGGAGACACACTCTCGAGCTCACTATTATTCTGAACATGTGTTATTAAAATCATCAATATCGGGCGGCGGAACAACTAATAAACTGAAATCATCAATATCGAGCTCATATTAAGCATTTCATGTGTTACTAAGCATGCAAAAACCAAAAGAAGTAATAGTACAGTTTTTGGTAAACACACTCGTTTATTGATTGAGTTAAAGAAAATAAAGAATATTTTCTTCCGTAACAGAACATGCTTGGTTTCCCTCACACTATTACTTTCAATACCGTGTATTAGCCAGAAACAAACTTATATTAATTTTCCTTTTAAAAGAACATGCATATGTAGAGCTCTAGTGATATTATGTTCCGAGTTAACAACCAACATTATGTGTTAGGCAGATAGCAATTTTGTAGGTTGCAGATCAGAGCGGTATAGCAAAACCATGAGCATGTAACATAAATTTCGCAGAATAACAAGATTCACATGTGCTTCAAAGTCACAGATCGCTCCATGTCACATAAAAAACATAAATCACTGTTAGACCAAGGGCTGCATTCCTTCTACAAAATTACTGCATCTGCTGTTTGACTGTATATTGAGACTAAAAACCTAATTAAAATTAGTTAGCTATTTATACCCTTCAAAACAGTAATACCAGTAACCAAAAACACAACAAAAAAGATTTGTATATGCTGCTGAATGAAGTAAACCCACCAATTTATCCTTATAGTGATCATGAACGATCAGTTCCTGTATAGTAAACATAAGAAAACAAAATTTGATTCATATTCATTTTCCGATGATAAACTTTACATGTATTTATCATAGTGTGCTCCTAATAGTATTTCCTGTGTAAGTGAACCAAAATCGCAAAGAGGCTACAATCACACACATTGAAGACAAGGTTTAGGAGTTCTAACAGAATTACACTTTTCATACTTCATTTTCTAGCTTTCTCAATACAGGGTTGATAATTTTTATATGTGTCATTTCAGTAGTGATACTTGGTTCTTATATTCAGAGCTCCTAAGTTCACTGAAAATCTTGAAGAAAAACAATAAATAAGAAAATTGTAGGGTTTTTGGCTTATCTGGCTTCCCATAATTGTGGTTTCATGTCTTAGGAGTCATTTTTTCATATTCATAAGCTCATATGTGCAGTTTGTGAGATGAAAAGAATTAGCTATGTAGATTTAAAAAAACCAGTGCACAGTTTGGAATAATTCAGTGAAAGTGAAGCCAAAATAGAAAATTAGTGCATGTTACAGCATCATCATCAGTTGAATAATAGCAGCCAAAAATGCAAGTGCTCAAAATAAACATGTGTATATGTTAGGACAACACATGCAATATACTCACAAGATATGGTAGATTAGTCGCTGACACCCATTACATAGGATGCCAACCACTCAATGCACTTTTGTCATCGGTGACCATTCCCCTCCATCTTCTGCACCCCAATTACAATAGCATGTAGTTGGCTTGCTACCAGAACTTGCTAATGGAAGCCATAGTGGAGTTGATGAGCTACAACGCCATGTTGTTGTCGCTTTGGGTCAAAAGTGTGACTAATTATTTCCAAAAGAATCGAATCAAGGCAACTAATTACACTTTGAATACCTACGTGAACAATACCTGGGTTGTCTTCTGCAATTTGTCTTCTGAATATTTATTCCCTGCCTTTGATCAAACCAATTTGTCTTCTGCCAATAAATAGATTATTGCTCTGAAGGGCTCTATGCAGAAACCTTTTTACATGGAGTAGATCACCCTTGGCTGCTGGAGCATTTGGACAACGAGAAACGCGACAATCTTTAAAAGGATAAGGCCAAGTGAGCTAGACCTGCTACTTCACAGAGCCACCCAAAAATCCTACGCCAATTCCAGTCCTGAGTAGACAATTTTGTTAACAGAGAAGAAGCTTTCTCAATTTCTGGATGTTGCCAATGTTAGTTTGTGCAAAGATGTTGTTTATTCAACTGGCATAATCCATCCACAAGTCATCGCTAATAACAAAGTGCATTACACACACAGAGAATGCAGAGCATCTTAAAGAAGTTCTCAGCAAAAATAATTATACTGGAACAAAAGGATATTAGTAATTCTAAAATTCTAATTGTAAGAACTACACCCATACTGTTTGGGTTTCTGAATCAATCAGCATTATAGAAACTCCTGTTGCTGGGTGTTTTACCGGACGAAATCCTTTGCTTGCATAACAACAAACAACAAATAGGGCTTAGCCATATATGTGTGCGTAGCTTCAACAAATTAATCAAACAAAATTATTGCCTCTCAGTCTCAAGGAACCAAACAAAATCAATAATTTTTCAACCACCACATCAAACTGGTACAATAGCATGGACTGGAGAATGGATTTTATTTTAACAAAAAGAGCACACAAGCCAGCTGTAGTTGGCCGCCGTGGACACCATCCGAATAGCAAAAAATGGTCTCGTACAATAGCATGGACTGAAGAATGGATTTATTTTAACAAAAAGAGCACACAAACCAGGTGTAGTTGGCCGCTGTGGACACCATCCGAACAACAACAAATGGTTATACATCTGGTTTTCTAGGAGGAGAATGACTTGATGTTCCCTCCGTTCTCAGTGCTACCAACAACGTCGGCTCCTTTAGTGCTAGTTCAAGAGAAGAGAGAGAGAGAGAGAGAGAGAGAGAGAGAGAGAGAGAGATTGGTTAGGTCATATGACATAAGAGCAGCAACTTTCTGCTTCTCTGTGCTGGTTGCAGAGAAACAAAAGAGAGAGGGCCAGATCGGCCTCGCCACTCCATCACCAGCGGCCCAGGCGTCCTCAACCTTGCCTGGCACACGACATGGCCCCGCCACCCCCTCACCAGAGCTCGAACGGCTGCATGTGTCTGTCCCGGTGCAGCTGCTCAACCCAGGTCAGGGCAGAGATTCGCCAGCACCACTCCGTGCTCATTCTCCTGCCTCCCTGCCGATTGTCCTCCCACACAATCTTCCTGCCATGTTGTACACTCTCCGGCAAGCCTGTGCGGGTGCTCGACGTACGCGTTGCCCCCATCCACACTCGCCAAGCTCCACCCTGGGCACTACCCGTTCCCCGTCGTCGGCGCTCACCATGAGAGAGAGAGAGAGAGAACAGGCTGAAAAGAGGGGCAAGGGGCAATACCTACAGAGCTCTGCCTACCAGCCATGAAGACCCACCTCCGCCTGCAAGGACTTCACGCCATCGCGCCGGATCCCTCCATCGCCCGGCTCCGGTGAGCTCCCGCCTCGCCGCCCACCTCTGGATCCGCCTCCCCAACACCTTCCACGCATGGATCCGGCCCCTGCAAGCTCTGGCCGCCGCCGCCATTCATCGAGCAGCCGCGCCGCCGCCAGTCGCTCGAGCAGCAGCGTTGACTCGATCCAGGTAGCCTGCCGACGATGAAAAAAGGACCGCGGGTTGAATACCCGAAAATTTAGGGTCTTTTATGTAAAAACGAAACGTTTTCTCACTTCAGCCACTTAAAAGGGGACTGCGGTTGAATTTACAGAAATAAAGAGACTTTTTTTGCAAAATTGCTAATGACGTACGACCAGAAGCGATACCTGCTTT